CTGGGGTCTCTCCACTGTGCCCCATGATTTCTGAATCACCAGGCCTGCTGGCACGGGGGTCTGCAGCCCACCCTCACAGAATGAGCCCCTCTCTGCAGGCGGGGATCACCCTGACAGCCGCCTCCCAGGACAGACAGCTTGCAGACACCTGGCAGCTGGGTGTCACGCCACCCGCCCCTCTCTCTCCCTTTCCTTCCAGCCTTTCCTCTCCCAACCAGCCCCCTCCCCACCCAGTCCCCCCTTCTATTTTTCCTGGCTAAAACCAGCCACAGATACCACCACACCCGGAAAGAGATAAATAAATAAAAGAAAAACAACCTCAACTGTGAAAAGCAGTCCAAATCTGAATTTTTTCCGGCCTGAGTTAATTACACTTTAAATTGGCATGTTTACTGATTGGGGAATTTCAAGTTAACAGAGACAGCCCCCCCTCCCCAACTGTTTGTACAGTAAAACTCCGCAGGCTGGCGGGCTCCCCCAGGCCTTGGCAGGCCCCGCCGCTCCCCTGCCAACGACACAGCATAACAGAAACATCTATTTTTGAGTGCTAGAGAAAACGAAGATCTCACAGATGGCGGGAAGCAGCATTCTGGATGGTTTCCGGCGCCCAAGCTCTGTGCCCCTTCTCCGCAGCCTCTCACCCCACGGAAGACCAGGGCCTTTGCCCTCGAGAAATCTGAGAGCTAGCTCCCTTGCAGAGGCGCCTGTCCGCCATCTCCCCTGCTGAGGGCCCGACCTGGTCAAGGCTCCCCACACTATGGCACTGTTCTCTTGGCTTTGACCCCTTTACCTTCGAGCAAGGGGTGCGGAGGGGGGGCTCTAGGCAGGAATCAGGAGTCCCTCACTCATTCATTCGCTCAGCTCACACTGATGGGGTGAGGAGCTACACCAAATAAAGTGGTGGCATGATCTCTGCCTTCTCGAGACCGACCCTAATAATGGGACTGGGTCTCCCCTAGACCCCAGGTACCTTGGAACAATCCCATCCCTGCTCCAGGCCCAAAGAGAGGCCACCAGCAGACCTGCTGACAGATGCAGACCCAAGGAATGCCTCTGCGGGCCAGCCAGGCTGCCAGCTCCCAGCAGCACCTGTCCCGGCAGAAGTGGCCTGATGTGACCACCCCTGCCCCAGGCCTTGGTTCATGGTTGGGATCAACCACAGGCTCTGCCATGGGACGTCCACACCCTGAGGGCCTGTTGGGCGCCCTGTCCAGCGCTGCCCGCAGAGGGGAGACAAGGCCAGCCAGCATCTGGACTCGGTCCTATGCTAGGTACGAGGATGCCACTGGGCACAGATCAGAAACAGCCCCCGCCCCAGCGGAGCTTTCAGTCTGAGTAGGGAGATACCTGCTGATCTAAGAATCAGAACAATGGGTATATGACTGCAAATTCAGACACTACCTGTGGAGGATGAATCAGGGAAGACTTCCTGCAGGAGGTAGCCTCCCAGAGCCCAGCCTGTCCTTCCTTGGGGTCCTTTCCATTCCCAGTCCCCAGCCTGGTGCTCACAGGGCCCAGGGCCTAGAGTCTCCGGGTGGGCAGTGCAGCTGCATAGGCGCGTGCTGCATCTGCTCCGATACCCTTTGCTGGGATAATGGGAAAATGATGAACGAGCCTCCATCATGCCCTGCTTCCCAGCCCTCAAGCCCGTTCCTGTCCATGACAAATGGTCCCTCTACCTCCATGGGGCCTTTTCAGCAGCCTCAGCTAGGAAGCCTTGGCAGCACTTGGTGGAGATTTATACCCATCTTCCCCGATTCTTCTTCGTTTTTCTGCTTCTTTATTCCCTCAAAGAATATGCTTTTATTTGTTCATTCCACAGAGGTTCTCTGAGTGCCTCCTGTGTGCTTCCTCCTGGTGATAGAAAGATCAGTTTCTGTACACACTCCCGTGTCAAACAGCTGCTTTGCGCTGGTGTCTGTGGTCAGATTCCGTCCAGGGAGACAGGCATGAACCGAGCACCTACTATGAGCCAGCACTGCAGAGCCAAGGGCCTTGGCTTCTAAAACTCCCCCACAGAGTGGCTGAAACCCCAGCCGCTTGGATACTCAGGTCCCGACTTGGTGTTTTGCAGCCCTTCTTGGTCTGGGTCACCTCAATTTTTACAAAGAAAGAGCTGCTTGTTTATCAGAGGTGGGTCTAGACCCCAGAGTCTCAACCCCAAAGTTGGAGAGAGAGAGCTCAGAAGAAAAGCCACAGCAATGCACCCTCCCCTTTATGGACACGTTTTCTTACCTATCCAAGGGTATGAGCAGAGAGGCGGGACAAGAAGGGAGCAGCCCTGACATTCGGGGTTCTCTGAATCCTTGAGGACCCCTGAAGACCGTGAGCTCCGTGGGTCTCCAGGACTGCACCAGCCGATGTGTCTGTGCAGGGGGGTGGTACACAGACAGAGTGGGGGCAGTGTGGGGAGCACCTGGGCCCACCCAGGGGAGATCAGCCAGATGGTCTCAGTGCTCCAGCCACCTTCACTGGCTCTTGTTCACTACGTGCAACCAAGGTAGCGAATTCAGCCCTAATTGCCATCCAGTGGATTGAAAAACACAGGTCAACATGAGTCATCATGCTCTGAGTCTTCTGACAAATCAAGCAGCCTTCTCCCCAGGCCAGACACGTACTGAAACATCCCATTTCATAGCTGATGGCACCATGTTGGAGAGACGCCGGGTGGGTACAGAGAAAAAACCATGAATACTCTGACAAGCCGAGTCTTGGGGAAAGAGAGCCTATCTCATCATGTGATACAAAGAAAAGAGGCCCTTTTGATGAGTGATCTGTCTTCCTAAAGCCCTTGCAAGCAGGATGACTGAGCACACCGCCTGGAGCCAGACCTGCCCCACCTCTGGCCGGGTGGCCTTGGTGCAGTCACTCAACCTCCCTGTGCTCCATTTCCTTGACTGTGGAACAGAAACTGTCCCCTCACAGCCCCTGTTGGGGCCCGGGACCAAGGTAAGCCCCCCTTCAGGACAGCTCTGATGTTTCCTCCTGTCTCCCTCTGAAAACAAGGAAATGGGAATGAAATTTCCCAACCACGTCCAGGAGACACAGCTGGGATAAACCGGCCCTCGTGCTGGAAAAAGGAGTGCACCTTGTGAACTTGGACCGGTGGCCGGGTTTACACACTGCCTTGGAGACGGAGCAAGTCACTGACCCTCCGGCTGAGGGGCCCACAGAGACTTCCATCCTGGCCACCTGGGGGACACACGTTCTCATTTGGCTGATCAAATGAGAAAGTCCCTTTGCTTATTTTTTCTTTTCCACAAACAATAGATAAATCATTTTGCTTTTAATGAAATCCTGCTTCAAGTGGCACAGGGTCGCTGTGTTTGGGTCTGAAACGAGCAGAGAACACGCACGCTGACACCAGACTCAGGCATGATTCTCAAGTGGTCGGTAATGCACCCGGCACTCTTCCCGAGTGGTGGCCTGGGATTCCCGGGGCGGGGGGGCTGTGCCTGTTCATGCGGCTGCGTGAGGATGGTTACATTGAAGCTATTAAATAAGGCTAATGTCACTCCCTCCTCATACACACATTTAATATATTCCAAAGATGTGTAGATGCATTAACAGCAATTTTCATCTCAAAATGTTCCCATTTAGTCAGTCCCATGCATAAAATATGAGCCCACACTCCAGCCTGTTGCAGATGGAGGTCCCCAGAGCATCTGGCTCTCAGCACTGTGGCGTTTGCTGGAGGGGCTGGGGCGCACTCATCCCACGTCTCCGGGGAAACACGGGGCCTGTCACTTCCTCTGGGGCTTTGGTGCCCCCATCCCCTGAAAAGTGGAAGACAGAACCCAGACCCAGCTGACTTGTGCCTCCTGCAACAAATCTCAGCCTCTCAAATGACATCCTGGAAGGGCAGAAAAAGCTGGAAAACCAAACAGCTTTGAACAAATGGGAAGAATTTCTAAAAACCGATTAACATATTCATGTACTCAGTCAGCACATCGCATTGACTGCCTGCTTTGTGCACAGCACCTGCCTGGGGATTCACCTGATCCGGTCACTGCCTTTGGGGACTCCATTAGTCAGTCAACAAACACTCACTGTTTTGCTACTGTTTCAGCAGAGGATAAGAGAGAGAGAGAGAAATTTATGCCATGAGAAATCTCAGTCGAGGGCACTGAGAAATTAACATTAGGCGATTTCAGAGAGCCATAAGCTAGGAGGCAAACAGCAATGGGCAGCTGGTGGAATGCAACGGGGAAGAGGCAAGGCGAGCTGGTTTACAGGGTTATCAGGGATGACCTTGCTGAACAAGAGACATTCCATCCCCTTGGGAATCGTGAACCCCTGGGAAAGGAAAATGCAAAGGATGTGGGCCTCTAAGGAAGGAAGGGCCGGAGCCGGGACAGGAGGCCGCCGAGGGCAGAGCAGGGCTGCCCAGGACTCAGCTCCGGAAGGAGGGGTGTGTGCAGGGCCAGAAAGAATGATGGAAACACACAGGGCACAGGCTGTGGCTCCAAAAGAGGAGAGGGGGCTGGGGAGTCCTCGGACCATTTTGGCACCAAGCCCGAGGGAAGGGGCCCAGGGAGGCGTTCTGGGCAGTGCAGTTGAGCAGCGGCTGGATTCTGCCGTTGGAAATGCTCTCCCCGGCAGAAGGAGGGGGCCCTGGAGGGAGACCCAAGTGGCCAGAGGGGCTGGGGAAGAGGGGTGCTGAGGGAGAGTGGGAGCAGGCAGCCCAGAGGGATGGTGCCAGGGATCCCCACTCCCATGCCGGACAGAGAGGAGCGGTCCCGAGGAGGGACCCACAAGGCGGAAGGCAGGTGCAGGGCTGCAACTTCCAAGGCAGCCATGTCTCAACCAGGGAATGATGTGCGCCCAGCTCAGGAGGACCTCCCGGGCCTAGGAGCTCACTGACAAATGACCAGTGATGAAGGACAGCCTTAGCTCATCCCTCAGAGGCGCTCCTGAGGCGCACATGCCTTCAGACCTGGGTACTCCTCCATTCCCCTGGGCATGAGCAGCAGGTACTAGAGTCACTATGTTTCCAGGCCTCTGGTCATCTTACTGTAGTCTGGGCAGGCTGGGGGTGCAAATACGAGCATCGGGTAGCTGAAGGCCAGCCCAGCCTGGGGGAACTGCCAGCCAGAAGCAAGAGCACGGCAGGTGCTCCTGCTGACGCTGGAACTGGGGCACACCCAAAGCCCTCCAGAACAGAGTGGAGCTGACAGGTCCCAACAAAGTCCATAGGGTCAACCAGTGCAAAGGCAGCTGCTGCCTGGAGCCGGCAGCGAAGAGGAAGGCGTCCCAGGTGGGATTGGATGCCGGAAAGAGGCTGACTGTATAATATTCATCATGTAGAAAGTGAACACCTCACAGCCAACCTATTTCAGGAACCGCTGAGCAGTGCCAACTCCTGGAAGGAGGCTTCGTCCTCAGTGACGAGCCCTGCTACCAGCCACCCGCCTCCAGGTGGAAGTCAGGTGCACGTTCAGCTGCTAGCCATGCTCCTGGGGGCCCACAGGGCGTGCATCTGGCCCTCCCCGACACCAGCAGGCACAGGAATCATGCAGCCGGGATCTGATACTGAACAGAGGTCGATCATGTCTTATGTGTCATGATTTCTGCAAACGCACCACAGGCCACCTCCCCTCACATACCACGGGGAACAGCACGTGCTCACATGGCCGCTGGAGGCACCGGCTCCCACCCAGGGTCTCACGGCGCTGGGACAAGGGGAAGGCAGCCCCGGTGCAGGAAATGTCTGCAGCCGTCCCCAGCACCCTGGCGAGGGGTAGGTGCCCTTCTAGCGAGATGCCTTCCAGCAGGACTAGCTCCCTGGAGTCCTCTGCCTCAATGGCACTAGCTGAGAAAAACAGACTGAGCCCTGTCACCCATCGCTCATGCTCATCAGCTTCATGACCGTCCCCCACCCCGGTGCACATCCCCAGCATCTTCCCCGAAGTCCACATGGCCCCAGAAAGCTCTCCCCAAATGGTTTGATGCCGGGGGTTGGGGACAGGATGAGAAATGTCATGCCAGCCCATGCATTCACGTACCCGGGAGAGGCCGCCTCAAGCGCTGCGCCCACACCACCGGGCGGTGGCGGTACTGAAAACAGGCCATCTGTGTTATATTCGTCATTAATAAAAGCGAACTCATCACAGACAACCTCTCCTCAGGTACCCAGAGTGCCGTTGGCTCAAGAACATGGCTGCTGTGTCCCATGGTGCCAGCGTCGCCCCCAGGAAGCTGTCCTGAGGATGGAGGGGACACCAAAGGTGAGAAGACAGAGAGACAGGGAGCCAACCCCCGCCCTGCCCAGACAGGCCCCCGCTGAGGCCGCGACACCAAAGCACCCGTCCTGCTCCCACCCTCGAAAGGGCTTGTCTCCAACAGGTCCTCCAAGGTGAGATTTGATACTGAGAAAAGATCAACCATGTATTATTCGAAATCAATAAAGCGAATATAACACGGTCGATCTCTCTTCAAGTACCAGGAAAGGCGCTGAGCTGAAGCGCGGTCGGCTCCCCGGCACGCAGGCCCCGCAGGCTGCAGCGGATACGGACGGCTAGTGGACCAGGTGAAGTACATTAGAAACAATTACTTTCCAACTGGTCGACCACCCATCCCCGTACCCCACAACGGTGCTGATGCCGGCGTCCTTCCCTGAGGTGCCCCGGCCTCCAGGGCGGCCTCCCTAGTGGAATTTGATACCGAAGAGGGGTTCACCGAGCAACATTCGTCGTCTAGATGCAAAGTTGCTCGGGTAACCTCTCCCCGAGTACCATGGAGAGGCTCAGACGCTCGGACTAAGGTGGAAGCTTGCAGGCAGCCGTCCTTGTGGAATATCCTCCCCGAGGGCAGCACAGGTCTGGGCACTCAGGGATTAGAGCCTCACAGCCTCCAAGGACATTCCCAACCGCCAAGTCCAACCACTCCCACCCCTTCCACAATGAATCTGGAGACTCTCCCCAGGGGTTGAGTGCAAAAGCCGGGCAGCATCCTATACTGAAAAGAGAGCACCTTGCCAAAGACGGAGATGAAAGCCAGCTCGCACCTGCTTTTCATTCCCAGACCCTGAGGGGGGTGATCCTAGGGGCCCTGAAGACGCTCAGAGCCTCCCTCCTGGCGGAGGATGCCTTTGGCGGGAGCTCCGGGGGCACAACACCAACCCCAGACCTGCGTCCCTGTGGTCTCATCAGCACCATCTCCAGCCCACAGAGGCATCACCCAGCACCCCACAAAGGCTGGCTCCACAGTTACCACCAGCTGCCTGACCATCTGATTAGCCTCATAAAGCAAATGAGACCTTAAACATAAGGGACTAGGGGATAAATGCAGCAGAAGAAAGCAGGTGAGTCACAGAAGTCCTCTCTTTACCAGGGTCATGGCAGCCCTGACCTCAGAACCCAACCTTCCCCAAACTTGGGGCACACCCCTGGAGGCTCCAGGGTGCCTCCTAGAGTGGGCAGCCAGCGAACGTCGGGCCGGACGATGGGTGCCACAAGCAGAGTCCGGATTCTGTGCCCACCACCCATCCTGTGAACTTTGGAGTGGGACCGACAGCAGAATCCTTTCCCTGATGTTGGCGTGAGTTCGGAGAACTCTACATCTTGCTACAAGTGGAGCAAGAGGCCAGTCATGCGAGGCCTGCCATAAAGGAAGAAAAGATGCCATTGACGACTTCGCTTCAGGAGCCACAGGCACTGGCCTGCATCAGAGCCTCCTTCCCCAGGCGGGCATCACCTCCCACAGTGGTCCCGAGGATGTCCTGGACGTGAGCAGGAGTGGAACAGATGATGGGCACTGTGAGTACCATCGGGCCTGTCCGGTGGGCGTCCCCCACACACCTGCCCTGCAGAGGGCTCTGGCTGCTGGCCACCTCCTGAGGGTGCTGTGGCTTCCAGAAATTCTCCAGGTAGGCTTTGACCTGAAAAGAGACCCATGTGCAATGCTGGTCACAAACAAAGCACTCCAGCAAACAACAAGCCCTTTCCACATCCCCGACAAAGGTTTCGACCTTGGAAACATCACCTCCAGAATGACTTCCCAAACAAGGCTCAGCCACCGTGACCCAGTGACATTCAGCACCAGTAAAAGGCATGTCCTTGGGGCCAGCCTGGAGCCAGGAGAGGTGGCCATGGCAGAGTCTGAGGAAGGACTAAACCCCAGAATGTTCCTGGATTCCTGTGTGTTCAGCAGTCACCTTGGACATGTCAAAGGGAAGTATCTTGGGTCCCCAAAATCACTAAGGAAAAGTCAAGCTGGACACTGCTCAGGATAAAGCGGCCTCTCGTTCCATTCAAAGTCACTCCTCTGCTTGCTGAGATAGCTGTAGACCTGATTTGCCTCCTTTGGAAAGGCTAATCAGAAACACGAAAGGATAGGATCATTTGTGTATCACCTGTCTGCGGCCCGGAAGCCCCTCCCTCCTTCTGCCTTTCCTTTGACTTGTCCCACCTTTGCAGACCAAACCAGTGGACTTCTTACATACACTGAATGATGCCTCATTTCTCCCTAAAATGTATAAAACCAAGCTGTCCCTTGACCACAGGACTTCTGGAGGCCGTGTCACGGGTGTAGCCTCAACCTTGGCAAAATAAACGTTCTAAATTAAGGGAGAGCTGTCTCAGATTTTCTAGGTTCACAGAAGCGACTGTCCTGAAAGACCCGCCCCCACTGAGTGGACCTTCTGCTTCCCTCCGGAGTCAGCGTCCCGCCTAGAACGCTCCATGGGAATGGAGGGACACCAGGAGAGACCGGACCAGGTGATGCATGTCCCTAACGCAGTGAATGCTCTGGAGACAATGTGCAACCAGGTCCCCGGGAGGACGGCTTACCAGCCAGCGTGTCGCTCTTGAAGTCAGCACGCCTTTCCGGGAAGCTCTCGGAAAGGTTTGGAGCAGAAAGAAAAGGTCAGCTGCATAAAGGGAGACTGTATCCCGTTTCTTGACCCTAGGTTCTTACTGATCCCACCCACGCCACTGTGAGCACACACAAATTCAATCATCTTCACCAGAACTGTACCAACATTGATTTTCATAGAAATGTGTTTTTCAGAGCAAATTCCATTACACTAATCCAATTCCTTGTTTAGCTTTCTTGACTGTGCCGTTGAGCTGTTTTCATTTCTTTTATTTCCCTTGTTATTTTCCCCGAATCATTTTCATTAGGATCAATTCTTTTCCATCTGAAAATCCGAATGAAGATTGGGTTGCCTCCGTGTGCTCTTGTCTATATCAAATATTCCTGTTTATTGCCGCCGCCACCGCCCCCGTGAATTTCCTCCCACGGCTGCCATGTCGGCTTTCTATTTCCCCAGGTCAAATGTCGCAGCCGAAATGTTGTCAAGAAAACTGGATTCTTCTGCCAATTTGTAGTGAATTGAACACATTTAGCACTGCGCCGTTTCAGCTGTTTTTCATTTTATTTTGTGTTGATTATTTTTATCACTATTATTTAATACAAATGGGATGAGATACTGATCGCCTCTATTTGTTTCACAACCCAGGAGAAAACTGGGAACAATATTTGGTTGGGGGATAGAAAGAGAAAAATAGAGACGAGGAAAGGCACGGAAAAAACGCAGTGCTTGTGAGCCAGATGGAGGTCTGGGGCTGCTGCCTTGTCACAGACACTGTCAAGTGTGAGCTCTGTTTATCTACAAGGTCAAATATCTTTAGGAAAAAACTGGTGCCGTTGAAGCGTCTTTGGGATTAACACAGCCAAAACGGTGATGTAAAGAGAGAGGGTCCAGGGCAAGAGCCGAAGCTGACACATCACCAACACCATCCTCCCCGGGCCGCGGGGCCCCGCCCCCATCATGAATGAAGCTGGTGTTCTCTGATAGACATCTGTTCTCATCCACCGCAGAGGGCAGACCACCCACGTCTACCCCGTCCATTCTTGCTCACGGGAGGGGTGTAGATGACCCAGAGCTTGCCACTGGGTCCCGGAAGCCATCCCAAGCAGGATTTGATACTCAAACAAAAGTTGCCTTTGTGTGATTCAACATAAATAAAGCGAATTCACCAAGGGCAACCTCTGCTCAAGGGTCAAACGTCAGCACGGGCAAGAACACCAAGATGCCTCTTCACCAAAGTGGCATTGCCTCCGCGGCCTCCCTGCTGACTGCAGCTGCATGCTCTCTGGCTCACTCTCTCCCCTCTGGCTCTCTCTCTCTTTCCCTCTTGACTGGCACTACCTCTAAGGAGCCCCCCAGGCGATCAGAACACGGTTGGTCATGGACCAGCCCCTGTAGCCCTGGAGCAGGCAGCATGGGCGAGGCCATGCACACTCGCATCATGGGTTGGCCCAGGCTCGGGTCAGCCCCTGGTCACTTACCCTAGAGAAGCTGGAACACCCAGGTTCAGTCCCAGGGCTGGTATCTCCTCCGGAAGTCCCTGCAGCGGGATTTCACGCAGAGAAGGGGGCTGCTGATGAATCATGGGACCGTGGTCAGTCCAGTCTTCAGAGGGTTGGAGGAGGACCCGACCTGAAGGCTGGTAACTCCTCTTTCAGCTCAGCATCCTCAGAGAGTGGGTGGGGCTGCATCACAGGGAGAGCATAGGTTCAGGTGACTGTCCTCCACACACTCCATTCCAGGAGGCCTCAAAGAGAGTTCAACCAAGGAAACCAGTCACACTACCATCCATTCATTCATTCAGCATCACACCTGCTGTGCACACCTGAGGACACAGTGCCAGGCAAGACAGTCAAGGACTCTGCCCTCAGGGAGCTTCCATTCTTCCGGGAGAGGACAATGAGCGAAGGTGACGTAAGATTCATATAATGACTGTCCTCAGAATCAATGTTTATCCTACTGTGCTACCTGCTAGACGCTGCCTAGATACTTCTCATGGAGGACGGTTCCACCCCCCGTTAACCCTGCTTTACAGAGGAAGAAGCTGAGGCCCAGAGAGCTGACAGGTCTGGCCCTGGCCCAGGGCGCACAGCTGGCGACATAAGGTAGTAATAAATGCTATGAACGATTCTCGTCTTGCACTCAGCATAACCGAGTCATGCCACAGAAACGTGCCTTTAAACAACATCAAATCTCACTGCCGAGAAAACCCCTCCACCCCCTGCTTCCCAGGGGTCACCCAAAGATTAGGCTATTTGAGGGAGTAACGTGGATGGATGCCTTCCATTCAGCCAGGAGTTCCTTTCCCTAAAATGTGCCACCCTACCTAAAAAGGCTGACTAAATGTGGTTTATTCACTAACGAGTCTTCAAGGAAGAGACTAGAAGACCACAGTGTCACCTAAAATGTCAGCATCAATTCTGGGAATTCCTCCTAATGATGGCCAGGATGTGTGCCAAGTGACGTAAGTCACACAGAGAGCGCTTGCCGCGCAGAGGTGATCCACTTCCTTACTCTGAGCAGGTGCCGGCTGTGACGTTTCCCAAGAAGAATTTAGTACCGAAAGGAGATTGGCCATGTAATACTCATCATAAATAAAATGAACACACCATGGACAACC